AGGACACCTTGCTGGATGGGCAAGTGCATGTGTAATTCTCCAAGCCAGCATTCTAGCTCCTGCTTCCTGAGCTCAAGCAGTGAGTGTACCCCAAAATCTGAGAGTCAGGGGTCCACAGTGAGGGCCACACCCTCACACTCCTTTCACCTTCCCAGCTCCCAGGGAGCTGGAGATGTGGGGAAGCCTGTTGCTGCTGCCCAGGAGGCAGGCAGGACACTCGGGACACCCTGTGACTCCGTGAGAATGGTGCTCACAGCCCTATATGGGCTGCACAGAGGAACGTGTGCATCACCACGGCGTGCACTTTGTGGTGGGGCCGATTCCTCCTGCCCCTGCGAGGTGCACAGTGAGAAGAGGCTAAGCAACCAGGCCTGGAGGTCTGGGCTGAGGGAGCTCTGGAGGCCTCTCATGCTCCCTGAGGCACCAAGATGCCCACTGCAAGCTCCTCTCAGAAAGAGCCCAGGGAGCCGGGCAGAGGAGGGACTGGTGTCGCACTAGACAGGTGGGCAGAGCTGTGTGCCCAGTGAACAGGGACAGAGCCACAGCCTTGCCCAGTGGAGAGGCCTGGTGTCCCAGCCTGGTGAGCCCTCCTGGGTTCCCTGAAGTCTGAGCACCACACGGTGCCCGCTGCCCCAGAGGAAGACCCCTCTGAAGGACAGGTATGTGAGGAACCTGCGATTTCTACATGTCAGGGCAGGTGGACAGGCTTTTCGTAGATGCTTCCTGATTGGGGTACCCAGATGAGAACAAAGCTGATGCTCTTTCCCAAAAGTCAGCATGAGGCTCAGGACAGGTCTGGGCCTCAGGCAGATGGAGCAGCTGTGAGGACAAGAAACAGACCCCTTGGTGTCCTGGACAACTTTCCAAGGAGCAGATGGAGGTCGCTGGCCGAGGTGGTGGCACCAGCAGGCAGAGAGTGACCAGGACACAGGAGCAGTAAGTAAAGCTTGTGGGCTGGGCCAGCCCTGTTAGCTGCCTTCAGGCCTTCCCAGGAATTGTCTGCATCAGTCCATCCTCCCCCCAGACACAAGCGTGGGCATTGACCAGGATGGCCTCCTCTGCCCCACCTTCCTGTCCTGCACACAGGCTCTTCCACAGGACCCTCCTCGCAAAAGCTGGTGGGCCGTCCTTGCTTCTTCTCCAGTTTCTAGGTGTGAACGGGCCCCCCTGGAGCTGTGTGGTCATGTCTACACCTGAAGAAGAAGTCTGTAGTCATCTGGCTAAGAGACCTCCAAAGTGTCTTGGTGGGTGGGTTGCTTGCCCAGTCGCCCAAAGTTAGTCCCATCTCCTCCCATCTGTGGCTCTATTACATGACCCTTTTGGGGGCTTAGCAAGTGAGCTGAGTTTCTTGTAGTCACGAAATTGCCAGCGCTCTGGGAGTTCCTGGAAAGACTGGCTGTGCCCTGCTTCCTGGCTGCAGCCATGTGGGCAGAAAGTCGAATATTAAGACTGAAAGAATTCAGAGGTATGCCACCTGAAGCAGGAAAAACAAAAGATAAAACAGATACATTGAACCTCAAAACTGAAAACTTCTGTACTTCAAAGGACACCATCAAGAAAGTGAAAAGACAACCCACTGAATAGGAAAATATATTTGCAAATCGTATATACACATGTGATGAGAAACTTGTGCCCATAATACATAAAGAACTTTACATCTCAACAAAAGGCTGGTAAACACACGAAAAGATACCTGACATCATTAGCCATTAGAGAAATGCAAATCAAACAAGTGAGACACCACATCCCACCCACCAGGATGTCCAAAATTTAAAAAGTCAGTAACAAGTGTCTGAGAAGATGTAGAGAAATAGGGCCCTGCCACATGGTGGTGGGTTTGTGAAGTAAGGCTGCCGCTGTGGAAAACACTTGGGCCCACAGAGAGGTGGTCCCTCACAGAGTTAAACAGGGAGCTACCATGTGACCCAGCAAGTTCCCTCCCCATATCATACCTAAAAGAGATGGAATTGTATCCACACAAAGCTTGTGCACAAACAGCTTGTGCAGCTCTGTTCACAGGAGCCAAAACGTGGAAGTAACCCAGATGTCCATCAGCAGATGGACAGATAAATGAAGCAAGGTCTGTCCATACGCTGGATTTTATGCAGCCATGAGAAGGAAGGGCATTCTGACACGTGCCACATCATGGAGGAACCTTGGAAATACTACACTCAGTGAAAGAAGCCAGACACAAAAGGCCACACATCTCATGATTCCATTCACACAAAATGTCCCAAACAGGGAAATCCATAGAGACAGGGGACAGACCGTGGCTCCCTGGGGCTGGGGTTGACAGGAAGATTAGGGGTGAGGCAATGCGAGTGTTCTAAAATTGACTATTGATGGTTGCACAAATCTACAAAGACACTAAAAACCCTTGAATTATACACTTTAAATGGGTAAATTAGAGAGTATATGAATTACATACCTATAAAGCTGATAAAGAACACATTTAAAATCTTTTCCAGATAATCCAGGTCAACATGGAACACATGAGAACTTTCTGCTGCATAGCTCTGTGTGACAAGGTAGATATGACCCCAGACACTTGCCAGCCCAGGGCAGGCCAGCCTAGGGAGCACGACGGAGTGCAGATTGGTTCCAGGGACACTCATGCACCATCCTGGCCCTTTCCAGTCCTCAAGCCATCGCATTTAACAAAGAGCAGAGCCTTAGGAATGAGACTCAACGGTGCCTGCCAACACACCTGGCCAGATATCCCAGCCAACCTCCCCCGTGACAGTGTGCGGTGGCAGGCTTCCCAGCATCTGTGAGCATCATCGCAGGACTCCATACAGGACTGTATCTGCACATGGGTTGCACGCCCATCCTCGAGTTGGTACAGGGTGATGGTTAGAAACATAAGGCATTTGGAAGGGCTTCAGTCTCTAAGCTGTTACTTTGCATAACCTACAATAGTATTATTACTATTGTCACAAACACGTTAATGGGTCAAATGAAACCACTGAAGATGACAAACCATTACGTTCTAAATTGAGGGTTAAAGGTCTGTATAGGTTTGTGAGAGACAGAGAAAGGGGCTAGAAGGATCTGGGGGGGTTGCCTAGAGAGAGGGGTCCTGGACCCAGGTCTTGGAGCTGGAAGAGGCCCATCTTCAGGGCAAGAGCCTGGCCCAGGTGCAGACCCAGCAGAGGTCCCTGCCCTCTGGTGCTAGAGTGTCTGCTTGCATGAAATGGCCCACTCTGTGGCCGTACCTCCAACCAGGGTCCTGCAGGAGGGCTGGTGGGAATGGCTCACAGGTGAGTGTGCCACTGCATAGTTCACATGCCCTGCATTCACACCCCTGTGTGCGGCTTGGTTCCAGGTCACCCCAGGGGTCTACTGGGGTCAAGGGCAGGACTCTGGTTTTGTCATTGACCATCTGTGTGCCTGAGGAATCACATGGAGCTTTGGGCCACTGTAAAGTGGATAATGACAGCATCTGCCCCCTGATGGCCTGAGAATTGGACAAGACACATGTGAATCATCCCCTGGGCTTGGCTGGACATTGGCTCTTCCATGCCTGTTATCCCAGGGGCAAGAGGTAGGGAGCGTCCAGGGGCGGTGGGGGCGAGCTGCCCAGCTGAGCTGGGGAGGCCCAGCTCCATCAAGGAAAAGAAGATGGGCACCTGGGCAGATAAGTAACCTCACTGTGGTCGTCCGCCTCCAGGGTTTGGAGTGGGCACCAGGCTATGGTGGGGTCATCCATGACTGGAGACGTGGGAGCGACCCCACAGTTACAGCACCTGCTGAGTTGAAACCACTGTGGGAGATACAGGTGCTTGGTGGGCAAGGGAAGTTGAGGGGCGGCAAGGGGGGAAGTTGAGCAGACGTGGCAAGCTGGGACCCAGGGAGTAGGTGAGAAAGGGTGGTTTCTCCAGAGGAATATACAGAAGAGGGCGAGGGGGTCCCCACAGGGTAGAGGATACAGAGGAAGGAACAGAGAGGGTGCTGAAGGAGGGGAAAGGTGGGCTGGCAGCCTATCCCTCATGTAGAGGGGGTTGAGCACAGGTGGCCAGGCCCAGGGCTTCCAGAGGTGGCTGTCGTGCTTCCCCATTGCGCAGGCATCTGGGAAAGGCCCTGCTCCCGCCAAGGCCAAAGTTGAGGGGGGAAGTCACGGTGTATCCAGCCCACAGCCCAATGCTAGTCTTCTCCTGCCCTGGAGTACTGTGGGGCAGAAAGAGGCTGGAGCTGGACCTCTGGAAAGAAGTCAGCTGGTCCATACCAGCTAGGCCAAGGCTGAGAGTTGGTCCTGTGGAGAAATCTGCCCCTCTTCGCCTTCTTTCCAAGGTCCCGCCCCCGCCGTGGGCCTCCTGTCCTCTGAATCCTCCTCCTACCCAAGCTTACTTCCCCACCCACCACATCATCAGCCACAAGGATGCAGGTTGGGTTTCCAAAGTCCTGGGCAGTGCCCCGGGATCCTATCCTGTGAAAGGAGGGACTCTCTGCTCTTCTAGAATTGGGGGCCCCATGACCTAGGATGGCCTAGTCGGAGGCTTTCCCCAAAAAGGTCGGCACAGAACCGAAGGGTCCCTGCAGCCTCGTCAGAGGCGCCTTGTCCAGGGTCCTCGTCGCTGACGGACACCTTCCCTGCCAAGTCCCGAAATTCGCACACGCCCCATCAAGGCCCGGCCCAGACCAGGCGGCTTGGGGCCTGGATGTGGGTGGGGGTCGAGGTCCGGGGGGCGGTGCGCTGCGGACGGTGGCCGCGGGGGGCGCTGCGGGGGCCGACGTTAAAGCCCGAGCGCGGGCGTGCGCGCTCAGAGGGAACCGAGCCGCTTCTGTAGCTGCGGTCGCCGAGCCCGCCCGCCTGCTCACTCACTCTCCCTCCCCAGCGTCCCGGCTGCACTGGCCGCCGGAACCCCGCTACACGACTTGGCGCGGAGGCCAGGCGCCCGGTCCATGCGGCCCCCGCGCACGCCCAGCCCGGGCACTGGACCCCAGACCCGCACCTGAGCGCGCGCCCCGGAGCGCGGGCGGCAGCCGGGGGCTGGGGCAGGATGGGGAAATTTCAGTCCAAGCACGGTGAGACGCGGGCCCGGGGCGGGCGGGCGGGCGGGGCGGGCGCCGGCCACTCACTGACCCTTCCCTCTCCCGCGCCCTCCCTCTGGCGCGCCGCAGCCGCTGCAGCCTTCAAGCGGAGAGAGAGCCCTGAAGGTGAGCGGGCCGGGTGGGGCGGCGACCCAGCCGGGACCCCGAGCCCAGAGCGAGACGTGCGTTCTGTCCTCGTGCCATCGGGTGGGGGGAGGTTGCCCCGGGGACTCCGGGAGCGCGTAGGCCCCCATCCCACCCCCGCCCCCGGCCCCGGCTCCCCAGCTGGAGCCCTGAGCCCCAGGCCTCACGGAGATGGGGTGGGCGCGCCTGGCGGCGGAACACCTTTGAGGAGGCGCAGCGCCCACGGGGCTCACCGCGCGTCTCCTTCCCTCCTTGGTGCCCGGTTCCCGCGCTTCCTCTCGCCGGGCCGCAGGGGACAGCTTCGTGGTGTCTTCGTACTCAAGTGGCCGCAAAGGCATGGTGGAGGCGGAGCGGCGCGGCGGCATGGAGCACCGCGCGCGGGACAAGCAGGTAGGCGTGGCGGGATGGGGGTGAGGGGGCTCCGCCCGACAGGGCCAGGGGATACCAGAGTTGTGCCCCTCGCTTGACCCAGACCTAGAAGGCGTAGGCTGAGATGGCGGGGCGGGAGAGATGCCAGCTGGGCGGAGAGAACCTGTCCGTCCCAGCCTCCACAGGCCAGGCTGGGTGGGCGTCCCGAGGGTGAGCCCTCAATATCTCAGGCTGGAGGCTTCGGAAGGGGCAATGATTTGCTTTAGGATCGGTCGCTTACACAGCAAAGATGGCCAGAATTAGAGGCCTCCTTTCTGCAGGGTGGATGACCACTGGTCCACAGGGAGGTTCATGGGAAAGCCAGACTCCTTAAGGACTGGGGAGGGGAGTGGGGCACCCGACTGCAGGGGCTGCCAGGGGCTCCCGGGGTCCTGCTCAGGTGGATATGGATGATGTTGCATCCAGAAGCAGAGAACTGCCAGCTTGAGGGTTGTGGGGGAGCATCAAAGGGGCCGTGGGTAAACTAGACCTGCACATGTTTGCCAAGCAGGAGAAAGTGAACGTTAGATGAGCATTAGTGTGAACTGGACCTGTGTAAATGGCCACAGCAGATGGCCAAGACCCCTCCTCCCCCACTGCTTGCCCCCCCAACACCCTGTTCCACTGCTCAAGGGAAGTCATCTCTGTTTTTGGAACAACATTCTTCCTGCCAGTTGACAAATGAAAAGTTCTGAGTGTATTTGGAAACACTGCAGCTCACCCTGGAAATGGCTCAGATTTGCTCCCAAATCAAACCCATAATGGAGTTAGAGTTCCTGCTTTCTGGAAATGGTGGTTTAAGCTTACACCTGTGAAAGTAGGAAATACATTTTAAGGAATCTTCTGGGTACATCATAGTAATGTCAGATGATAATGTTAGATGGACCTGTGCTTCTTGGTACCGAGGATAAGGGTGGGTACCCAGGGAGCAGCCCAGGCCCGTCTCTCTCCCTCCAAGAGAGATGGCGGTGTTGATAACGGGATGGTGCCTCTTAGCTTGGTTCTCCTGTGTGTGGCATATAAATTGGGCACGCAGGAAGCTGTGCAGGCATTAGCTTCATGGTCAAGGGTTTAGGCTGGGCATGGTTTGACCAGCTGTACTGCCTGGGGCCCTCCTTCCTGGGGGCATGGGCAGACGGGACCTGGCAGTGTTCGCTCAGCCCTTAGGACTCTCTGGGTGCTTGTTCTCATTTGTTCAGAAGGCGCGGCAATAAAGAGGGCAGTTCCAGCAGCACCAAGCGGTGCTTCTTCTGGGCTGAGGGACTCACTGGGAGCACATTCCTGAAAATGAAAATGAAAACACTCTGGTGTCACTGTGAGATTGTCAGAGCTGGGGTTGGAACTGGCTGATGGACCCCATACTTCCGGGACATATTTTGAAAGAATGGTGTGGGAGTTGGCTTGGGTTGTTCTCTTTTCATTTTGTCCTCTGCTATGGTCTGAAAGTTTGTGTCTCCCCTCAAGTTCATATGTTGAAATCTAACCCCCAAGTTGATGGTGTTAGTAGGTGAAGCAACAGGGAGGTGAGTAGGTCACCAAGGTGGAGCCCTGATGGGTTACTGCCCCAGAGAGCTCCCTGTCACATCTACCATATGAGGACATAGCAGGATAGTGCTAAATCTGAATCAGAATAGGGCTCTCAGCAGATACTGAACCTGCCAACACCTTGATCTTGGACATCCAGCCTCCAGGACTATGGGAAATAAATGCCTGTTATTTATAAGTCACCCAGTCTGTGGTATTTGTTGTAGCAGCCTCAATGGATTGAGACCGGCTCATTTCATGAAAGAAAGTTCCTTTTAACACCTAGATGTAGAAAGAGGAAAATCTCAGAATAGAAGATGGTCCTTTAAATTAAATACATTTTAGCTTGAAGACAATGGTTCTGCTTTTTCTACATTTTCCTCATTTGGCCATGCTGCTGCAAGCCCCTGGCCAAACACCAGCCTGAAGTTTAGACCTCCTCGGCCAGGCACACCCTGCCACAGATGCACAGGTACCCTCACCACCGCCATGTCACTGCTCCCTTGCTTACCAGGCAAAACTGGGCATACACTAAGGTGGCTCCAGCTCAGGTTCAGTGCGAACTGCGCCTAACCATCCCTGCTCCTGGTTCTGTGCCTAGAACTTGCTCAATTGGGGGGCATTTGGGTGTCACGTTCTACAAATCTCCTGTTTCCAGCCGTGTCCTGTGCCCTTTTCTTTGTGTGGTGCCCAGAACTCCATCCTTCATCTCTGCCCTCCCAGGTGATACCCCCAAGGAAAGCCACCCTGGATCAGGCCGCGCACCCAGTGAGTCTGACACACTCCTCCTTTCCCTGAAGTTCGCCCTGTGTGTCCGTGCAGGTCAGCCCTGGTGCACCATGTTGCTCAAGAACTGGCAAATGACCACATGATCATAAAGTGCATCTAAATATCACCTGCCCTCCCCCACCCACCAAAATAAAGGAAATGAAGTTCGTTTTGCCTGTTAATTGTTAGTGAGCTAGGCTGGCTCCTGGTATCTACTTAGTGCACAGCTAAAAAAATTCTTATAAATATTAGCATTTTCCAGGCAGGTGCGCTCCCTATTTCACAGCCTAAAACAGTGTCCCTTGTTGATTCTGAGAAATGCTGCCGTCTTCTCATGGCAGGACCTGCATCAGTTCATTGCTGAGTGCCCCTGAAGGGCCAGGCCTGTGCCAGGGTGCTGTGGGATGTTGGCAAGCGCAGCACAGGGAATCTAAGGAGTGGAGTAACTGAGGTCATGCATGTGTTAAAGTTATGAGAAGTGACAGGCAGTAGCACCAGCAGCACTTGGCAGTGCTGTTTCTGAAGGTGGAGCCAGCCGCAGAGCAGCGGGGGTCATGGTTACAGGTGGGGCCAGCCACGGAACAGCAGGAATCCTGGTGAGGCTCTGTGGAGACATGGTCGTCCCTGTCCTGCAAACATGCCCTTCCCTTCCCTGCACACAGTCACTCACCATCTGTCTGCGTCTCTGCAAGTCCTCCAGCGCTCCCTGAAGCTGGCAGGGGAAGTTCAGAAGATAAGAATCACGGCTAACCATTGAAATTTTGTTGTGGATAAAACGCAGATTTCCATTAAGTAAGCCTAAGAAAGGGATGTTTTGGCAACTTTGGAGGTGGCATGTTAACTGAGATGTGAAACAGAAGTGCAGGAATCCAGGAGGCCACTAGGGCCTTGGCTGAGGCCTGCTGCGTGGTGGGACTCTTAGCTGTCCTTGAAGGATGTAGCTTCTCAGCTCCCAAGGCTTTGTGACAGGCAGCCGGGAGGGGCTCTGCCCATACGTTCTGTCTCGGGTGGATCCCAGCTTTAAGGACCTACACACGGGTTCCACACATGGGCACGTGGCAGTTTTGTGTGCGCTGACATTTGGCACGTGTTCCCAATGGAGGCAGCCTTGCAAGGACTGGAGAGGGCGAGCCCTGCAACCCCAGAGAGAGACTCCCCTCCGGACAAGCCTCTGGCTTCCAGCAAACTCCATGTGCCCTGCGTGTGGTCTTGTCTACAGCTGGCCTCGCACTGCTTTTGGGGTCTGGGGGCTCAGCCCCATGGCATGGTTTGATGCCTTCTACCTAGAGTTCCCTGGAGCCAGTCACCAGGACATTGGACCCCTCTTGTCCTGGCAGCAGGCTTTCGTCCCGCTGTGGTGGAGCAGGGCTGCTCCATCCCGCTTGCCTGGCAGCCCAGGAGCCAGTGCTCACCTGCCCACCTACCCACCTATCCACCATACTACCAGAGCACACAGCAGCAGCAGGATTTACAGATCTTAGTTAAGAGTGGTTGAGATGTTAACTCTGCGGCTTCTGGTTGAAATCCCTGGGAAATTCCCTTGGCTTTGTACAAAGTCTGGACACCACCCCATCTGCAATCAACACAGAGGGCTGTGGTGCGAGTCGGAGCGTAAAGCACATGTTTGCAGAAGACACCCAAGAGGCACGAGGAGGTGCGGATGCCATGGCTCCTCCCTGGCTATCTGGCCACAGGCCTCAAGAAAGGACACTTTCGGTGAGACAGGTGGCAGGTCCTCCGGCCGCAGTGCAGCTCCTCGGGATGACCTTCAGAGTTCTATGACCTGTGCTCTGGGCACTAACCTCACAGAGTGCTAGCCTTTGTGGGGTGTCTGGGCACCAGGCCTGGGAGCTCTTCACTTTCTTTTGGCATCCATTGTGGGAACTTTCAATACCAGCGGCCATGTCTCTGCCCTCAGACGTGGCCCCGCTGTGTGGCGAGGCCAGTACAGATATGCATAGGAGCCTGAAGGCTCACATGGTTGTCAGGGCACGGACAACAGTCCTCACCAAGCACCAGGGGCCTCTCCCCAGGGCCAGCTGCATCAGCCCCTCACGCCCATCCTTGCTTCTGAAGTTGCAAATGGCCCTCCTGTATGCTATCCTACCTAAGGATGAGCCAAGTGGTCCCAACTAATTCATACCTGAGGAGCCACCAGGCCACTCTGTGGGAAACACTTCCTGGGAAGGGGTGATGGGATTGTGAGGGAGCTTGCTGCTCTGAGTGTGTTTCTGGAGTAAATAGCTGAAGTTGCCTTCTTTCCTCGCCTGGAGATGTGGACAGGTGCTGTCTGAAGTCAGGACTGTCAGAGGGGAGGGGATCCACCGTACTGACCCGGCTGTCCCCCCTGTCGGCGGGGATTGCAGGAGGCGCTGGCGTCATCTGTGGGCATGCAGCCAACAGCATCAGACACCCAGGAGGGGGTGAGGGCCATATGGATGGCTGGATGCCATGCACCTGCCCCAACCTGGTGCCCATGGCAGGGCTGCTGTGGATGGCAATTCAGCCACCAAGGGTCAGTGTGTGTGCCCGCTTCTCAATAGCTCAGGTATGGGCACCCTCGTGTTGTGTGTTAAGGACTCTGATGTCCACAAGGCAAGGCTGAGCTGGGACCCCGGCCTTGGAGCTAGGCCAGCAGATCTGTGATGGCCACAGTGGGGTCAGAGGCCAGCTGCAGAGCCTCTCCCCCG